TACAGGCCTTCATAGTACTGTGTAATTATCCTTTTGATGCCATTAGGATCTGTTGTAATGTCCCCTGTTTTATCCCTCATCCTTGCTATTGAAATTTGTTCCTTCCTTTCTTTGGTTGGGTTTGCCAGTAGTCTATCAATTCTTTTAATCCTTTCGAAGAACCAACTTTTAGCAGCATTAATTTTCTGCATAGTTTTCTTGTCTCCCCTCTCATGTATCTCAGCCCTGATTTTTATTATTTCTTTCATTTTGTTATTAGTAGGGTTGTTCTTTTGACACTGCTCTAATTGGTGTAAGTTTTGTGCCAGCATATCATCCACGAGTCTCTGGTCATTTTTTATGTGTACATTTATTGATATCAGCCTTCCTCTGATAAATGCCTTTGCTGTATCCCAAAGGTTTGAGTATATCGTATTTTCATTCTCATTGGTTTCTAGAAACTTCCTGATTTCATTTCAGGTCTGGGCCAATACCCACGCCTTTTGCAAGAGAATTATTCATCCTCCAATTTTTTCCCCTTGTTTTCTTCATCATCCTTCTATTGATTTTCAGCCATATGGCACAGTGGTCGGAGAGAGACATCTTTATAATCTCTATGTGCTTGAATTTACTCAGGTTTGACTTGTGTCCCAGCTTGTGGTCTCTCTTCGAGTATGTGTTATGTCGGCTTGAAAAGAATGTGAATGTGAATTTTTTTTGCATTTGGGTCGCAAGTATCTTTATCAGGTCACGTCATCCAATTGTGCTCTTTAGATCTATAGCCTCCTTGTTGAGTTTCTTTCCCTGTGATCTGTTTTTTTCAGAGAGTGGTGTATTAAAGTCACCTACTATAATTGTTGAGCCTGTGATTTCTTTTTTCATTTTTTGGAGTGTTTGGTTTACGAATTTCAAGGGTCTCTTGCTGGGCGCCTATATTATGCTCACTGGTTCTTGGTCTACTGTTCCCTTGAGCATTATATAGTGCCCCTACTTGTCTCTTGTTATGGCTTGTACCTTGAGCTCAATTTTGTCAGAGATTAAGATTGCAACCCCTGCTTGTTTTGCATTGCCGTTTGCTTGGTATATTTTCCTCCAGCCTTTAATTCTCAACCTGTTTCTGTCTGCAAGCTTCAGATGTGTGTTCTGTAGGCAGCAGATCGATTGGTTACATTTTCTGAGCCAGTGCCTGAGTTCAGTCCATTGATATTCAGTGTTATTCCATCCATCTGTGGACTCTGTGATGCCATCTTGTACCTTTTGTGTTAGGTGTTTTCCTGCCTACTTATCAGTGTGTGTGTTCTGTGTGTGTGTGTATGTGTGTGTTTCAATCTTGCCTTCTTTCCACTCTTGAGCTAATGCTATTTTGGGGGCTGTTTTCTCTTTGTCGCCCTATTGTGGAGTTGTTCTATATGATGTTCTCTTATTTGCGCTTGGTGAGTGTTGCTCTTCAGCCCATACGTGGTCGGCAAGGATCTTTTGTAGGGCTTGGCTTCTTTTCCTGTATTCTTTCAGTTTTTCCTTGTCTGGGAAGACTCTTACTTTTCCATCTAGCTTAATAAATAATTTGGGTGGGTATAGTATTCTCGGGTTTGTGTTATTTTCTTTCAATTTTTGGAATATATTATAGTCATATTTTCAATATGATGTATAAGTAGCATTGATTTACAAATGCGTTGGAATGTCATTCTTTGAGATGGCTTTTAGTATAGCATGAAAGCATTATGTAGCTTCTTCATTACCTCTATTCTTCACGTCTAATAATTTGTAAATTGGAAAAGCAAACAATCCAGTCACTGCAAGTCAACTCCCACTTGCTGGTGAGCCTTGTGTGGTAAAGAAGAACTGTGCTCCATGGAGTTTCTAATGATTGGTTCTGGATGTAGATGTCTAGGCCTTTCTTCCAAGGTGCTTATGAGTAGACTCAAACTTCTTACCTTTCAGCAAGCAACGAAGCACCTTAATCATTTACACTACTCAGGGAGTCCCATAATAGAATTCCTGTATTGGTTTTCTCATCACCATGTGAAGATAAAAGAGGTTTGAAGAATTAGATATTGCTTCAGCCATTGTCTCATAATAAGTTTCTTTTTATATTGTATCCTAAAATGTTTTTGAAAAATAGTATTGCTAGCAGTGGCCCTCTTTTTTGCCTGTGTTGTTTCTAAGGAGCATTCCTTATCGTTAAGGAAGCAGGCATACCTTTTGTGGCTCTCCTTGCGGCTTGCCAACTCGCTGTGTGTCTGGATAGGGCACTGTGGGTGCATTTGCACTGCTTCAGTCTCCTTGGGGCTCGTGTCTGAATCTGCTGTGTTTTTCTTCTTCTCCAGAGCTCCTGCTCTGTCCTACATAACAGTTAGCAGATCTTTTTAAAATAGTATTTTATTGGGTTGTGTGTGTGAAGATTCCCATAGAAGTTAAGCATCCCATTCAACATTTTGTACACAGGTACATTAGTACTTTCATCACAATGAGCGCACATTCTCAGTGTTTTCATTCTGGTTTGCCCTTTTTCATTAATGCCTAGCTTCTCTACCCCATTTTCCTGTTTGCTTTAAGCTAATTGTTGACCATCTGGTCTCTTATAGATGGTTGGGGTTTTTTTTGCAACAAGTATGGTACTTAGTGGCAATGGTCTTTATTTTGCGAGTCAGTCTTATTGAGCTAAAAAGTGACTGCAAGTGTGATAGTTTCTGTTCAAGCTTTAAAGAATAACTGAGGACAACAGTGTTGAGAGTCCTGTAAGTCTTGTTTTGCTTTTTGAGAATTTGAAGTTCTGTTTCACACTTTTCTATCTTTCTCTCAGGGTTCATCTACTGTTGCTTTGCTCAGAATGGTCAGTAGTGGTAGCCAGGTACCCTCTACCTCATAAGTCTCAAAGTAGTTGAGGAAGTGGTTTATGTAAACTATTATTTTTGTTTACTAGTTGCCTCTTTGAGTTTTCTTCTTTCTATTTTGTTCCAGGTGAGTAGAGACTAATAATTGTACAGTGGATGGCTTTAGGAGCTAGTCACCAAATACATTATAGACTATAATTTTATAAAGTTTATCCATGCCTATTTATCAAGCCCTCTCATGAGACTATGGTCCTAATCCTTCAAATCTTTTCAAACCCAGAAAACCAATCCCACAAGGTTTGGGGTTATGCTTAAAAGTATTCATAACTATATGCATTAATATGCAATGGCATATAGTCACATGTAAATTCATATGCGTACACTTACATAAAGAGATAGGTTCCGCCTTATGACATATTCAGATTATGAACTTGGAATTTGTAATGAGTAAAAGCACGTGACTGATGTTTTTCTTTTGCTTTGCATATCAGGTGTGTTAGTCTGGGTACTTTAGTAAAACAAATCCACAGAAACTCATGTATAAGAGAGAGTTTTATATAAAGGTTAAGTGCACATCAAAAAAAATCCCAACCCAGTGCTGCCCAAGCCCACAAGTCCAACATGAACCCATCAATCCATATGTCCAACACCAATCCATAAAGTCCTCCTCCATCTCACAAAACAAACGCCGTGATGCCGACTGCAGGAGGAAAGCCAAGTCCGTGAATGTGTAAGCATCTTAGCACTGACAGGGGTCTCCACACGGACACTCCAGCACCCAGGACTGCATTGGGGTAGGTCCATGTGGCTTCTCCTCAGGGATGTCATTCAGGAAATGAGCCTTGCCAGTTAAAGCAGGGAACTGGCTAAGGCAACTGTACCCTGGTATGACCCTCAGAAAGCAAGAGACCTGAGAACTCGAAAGGTGAGGCTCACTGAGCCATTTATCCCTCTGCCCTTCAATTAACCTCACATGTGTTTATCGGCCAGGTTGGCACAATAAACTAACTACCTCATCAGGGTTGATAAATTAAAGTGATTCTGCAAACATGATTGTACAAATAGTCTTTTTGAAAATAGACTTAAATCGCTCATTTAGATTGTGAGCCCATGTTTACATGTGTCCTATCAGTGGTCACTCTTCATTAAAACCATTCATGAATGATTGCTTTGTGGCCCAAAAGATAAATGAATCTAAAGCTCCAGAAGCCAGAAGCAAAACTGTGTTTGCCATAGTGTTTGGAACCAAGACGGCACTTGATATTTATAGGATGGGTGGCTTATTTGAAATTTAAAAATGTATTTTACAATTCTATATTTCATACTGAGATTCCATCTCAAGATAGTTTGGCTACATTACTAATTGAAGTAGAATTTTATTTTTCTTTTCCATAGTATTCTTTTTAGGAGAGGCTAGTATTTTGTTTTTCCTTTGTTTTTTGCTTTGTGGGGTTTATAGCCTTCTCTTTATCCTATTTAGAACTTTGCTTGCCTTGGTGCTGACAGATCAGTGTGGTATGACTGATAGGGTAATGGAGGGGCTGATGTCAGTGGGGAGTGGGGTGCTGTCTTCTGCATGACTTTGCAGGTTTGCTTAAATGAAAATGCTGTCATAGTATGTCTAATGTTCCAGATACTGTTTTGAGGTTTGTTTTTCATTGTTATTGTGCTTTATGGTACTCAGAGAGTTACAAAGTTCAATATAATGATTCCTAACATATTCTTCAATATTGTTGAATAAATTAACCCTGAGGTAGAGAGTGGATAGAAAGGGGGAAAAAGGGGGCTTTATGGAATAACAGATGTGATGTGGATACCCACATTTTGGATAATTGGTATGAAGTCTCTTTGTTTCTGTTTCCTTAGCGCTTAATTGGATAAATATTCCGGGAAACAACAATTGTTTGAAGGTATAGAAATCTTGGTATTTTGCTTTCAATTAATTCCTGATTTAGAAGGATAAAAATTAGGTCATTTCCTCCATTGAGCAAGTTAAAGATTTAGGAAAGTTTGCTAATACAATTACACGGTGAAACTGCTACTTACATCAAAGCTTTCTTTTATGTTTGGTAAAACATATTACTCATTCATGAAGATATGGTTCAAAGACCGCAGGCTAAATGAATAACTGCATGTGTTTGTGGTTTCCCAGGAAGTGAGTTGCCAACACCCAGACTTGCTCTGCCTTGACCCAGGCTTGGTGAGTGCTGGCTGCCTGGCCAGCTTGCAGCAGCCTGTAGGTATCCTGCTCCTGGAAGAAGCTTTGCTCCACCTGGAGCCCCCAGAGCCTCTGGCCAAGCGAGCCCGGGGGACATCCCACCCTACTCCTGAAGCCCTGCGGTGGATTGAGCTGGCAAAGTAAGCCCTCTCATGACAGCCCTATGATAACCACAGGTTTGACCCAAGTGAGGTACATAGTGATTTGTGCTCATCTCCACTGTTGGGTGGTACAGTTTGTGCTTCACTACTAACCTAAAGGGGGGCTTGTTCTAATTCGCCCAGTGACAAAAAAAAAAAAAAGACGTGACTCTACTTCTGTAAATATTGTAGCCAAGAAAATGCTAGGATGCAGTTCTACCCTGTGACACATGGGGTTGCCTTGAGTTGAAACCAATCAGCGCTTTTGGTTCAGTTTTAATTTAGACAAACCTTTGCTTCATTAGGACAGTAAACAAAGGTGATAGGAATGCTTCTGTGAAATTTCTTGAAAACTCTTTCCAATGAGTTCCAGTCCTGAGTCAAGGAACATCTTGCTCCAGAGAGAGAGCATTAACGAACCTTGTAAGTTTCCCACAGTAGATGTTCAATGGGACACAGTTTATTGCCTGCCAAGTCTAATTTCCTCTAAAGTGTGCCTGTAATGTAGTCTCTGATGCTGAACATGTTTTTCTCTTTTCAAAAACTGAATAGAGGATAATTTCTTATCTCCCAAGGGTCAAACAATTTAGAAATAATTTAATGCAGCTATATTTATTTGGGAAAACCAGATTCCATCGTGGAGTTACGCCACTTAGCGTTGTGTCTAAGCTTTCCTTTCTTCTGTGATTTTAGCCCTATGATAGCCAGTACTTAATTCTGAAGCCAGATATTTGCTAAAGGTTGAAGACTGACTTACACTTCTATTTCACAGTGGTAACTTTTACATCTCTGGTTTCTGTGAGGAAAGATAGTAAAAATAAAGATGGGAACCCTTACACTTTCACTGTTTTGTAGTCATTTCCCAATTTTTGTCTTATTTGAGTGCTATGTTTTTTGTTTTTTTTTAACATTTTATTAGGGGCTCATACAACTGTTATCCCAATCCATACACACATCAATTGTGTAAAGCACATTTGTACATTGTTTCTCAAAACATTTTCTCTCCATTTAAACCCCCGACATTAGGTCCTCATTTTTCCCCTCCTTCCCCGCTCCCCCCTCCCTCATGAGCCCTTGATAGTTTATAAATGGGTATTTTGTCATATCTTGCCCTGTCCGATGTCTCCCTTCACCCTCTTTTCGGTTGTCTGTCCCCCAGGGAGGAGGTCACACACAGTTCCATGTAATCGGTTCCCTCTTCCCTACCCATTCTCCCTTTACCCTCCCTGTCTTGCCACTCACACCACTGGTCCTATAGGGCTCATCCGTCCTGGATTCCCTGTATTTTCAGTTCCTATCTGTACCAGTGTACCTCCTCTGGTCTAGCCAGTCTTTCAAGATCGAATTCGAGTCATGGTAGTGGGAGCGGGGAGGAAACATTTAGGAACTAGAGGAAAGTAGTATTTCTCATCATTGTTACATCGCACCCTGACTGGCTCATCTCTATGTTCTTGTGAGCCCTTTTGGGCTTAGACACCTCAGATTTACAAAATGAACCATCCAGTAGAAAGTGCATTCATCTCGATAACAGAGTTAGCCATAGTAGGAAGTAGGAGTTGGTCACACCTTGGGGACTCCGACATCTAAATGAGCAAAACCACCTTGTATATCTAATTCTTTCTGGGAGTGAGAAACCCAGGTGATATGAATGTGCAGCCAAATGGAGTGCACAACTTTTAAGGGCCTAAACTTTTCTAACTATATTTAGTACTTCCTCATTCCCTGAAAGCAGAGTGGTGTGAATGTAATTTAGCCAGTCATTGTATTGATCAACAGATATATTGTATATGACCTGGAAACCTTGGACCCAGTTAAGGTTAGGGTATAAATACAGCTGAGATGTTTTCTGAGTTAGTGGGAAAAGTCTGTAACTCATCTCATCCTAACCATTTGAATTGGAAGCTCTTGTTACTCCACCTCTTCTACCTAGCTCTTCGCGCCTATGATTTCCTGCCTTCCCTGCTCTGTAATTGAGACACTAAAAGACCTACATTTATCCAAATTTGGAATAAGTAGGCTCTAGGGAAGATTCTGAGGCGCTCTTTTGATGAAATCATGAGCTTAGTCCGCAGAAAAGACAGCAGGCTCTGGAAGGCCCACTGGGCCAATCAGTACAAATTCTGTTTGTCTTTTTGTGAAAGAGATGACATTTGCCTTGAGACTTGAAAGATGGAAAAGAAATTTCAGAGGAATACAAACTAGCACCTACTAAATACTTACTTGGGAATATCTTAAAAGGGGAAACTTGGTGGATAGGATCAAGTAAGACTTTTGCTAACATGAAGAGGTGACTAAATGCTGTAAGAAAGTTACCTGTCAGTAGAATTGAGGTGGTTGGTGGAGTGTGGATTAAAATGTAGCATCAGGCAGGTGAGAATTATTTGTTTGTTTTTGTTTCTGAGTTTCTGGTTAAATTATAGATTCTTGGAGTGGACAGGAATTGGATTCTAATTGGGTCACTTACTAGGATAAGTATATAAATTACTGCAATGAATTAATACTTGAACTTATTCAAAGAAACAGTTTATACATGTGAACCTTTGGTATTTTCAGATTTCACTTTATATACAATCAGTAAATCTAATGATAACTTCCAGAAATGTTTAATTATGCACATTTTGACAAATAAAGATAGCATTTTATATATTTTAATATTATGGATGGCATATTGCTTTAATGTCATCTAACTAAAACAGATATAAAATGTTGTCACTTTAATTTACTTGGACCTGTGTGTGCTCATATTACAGATTGTATAGATCAATTGGAGAATATGATGTCCTCCGTGGTATTTTTAGCAGTGAAATAGGAACGAAGCAAGTGACCCAGAAGGCGTTATTAGCAGAAGCCAGAAGTGACTATTCTGAAGCTAGTATGCTATATAATGAGGTAAAATCCATGTCTAGAAAATACATCAGTCACTTAAATGATCTCATTTTCCTGGGTGAAGAAATTTTAGCTGTGCCATTTAGAGCTTTGTAATATTTCAGTTTTATTAATCTAATTCCTTAGATTTCATCAAAAGTTTAATAATAGAGACTGGCTTAATAATAACCAAATGTAACCTGATTATTGTTGTTATTTCTTACCCCATTTTAAGAAAATATCAATAAATTAAAGGGAAAAAATCCCAAGCAATAGAAAGCTCTAAGATATATATTATTTCTGTATCTTCTATTATTCATAAATTCTACTTCAGTAGAATGTTTTCACTCAGTAAGTAAAAATGTCTGTAAAAAAGTAAAGAATAACTGGTTTCGGAGGACGACTGTCTGTTGAATATTGGACTTTCTGTGTTTCATGGGCTGGGGCTTCCCAGGTAGAAACTTGTCCAGCAGTAGTGCCCACTTAGGTTAGTGGTTAGAGACTGGAGTGAGCATACAGATTTTATACTATCAATTTTTTAAAATTTTTATCATTTCTTTTAATTGATTTATTTCTCATATTGTTGCTAATTTTCTTTTTAAAATTATTTTATTGTAAACTATCAATTTTTTATAAATAGCCTTAAAAATTATTATAATTGCCATTCTAAGAACTTGCTACATAGTCAGTAACTCAGGCTTGAATGCAGCTAATAGTCACTTAATATTTGAATCTGATTAGATGGTTATCTTGGTAATGGTTTCTTCTGGATCAGGACTCTTATAGTCAGATGTTACCAAAAGTTTCCGTTCAATGTTGCTCTGAATATTCTTCTCTTTTATCATATCAGTTCACAAATCTGAACTTGATTGTCCTTAGTATGATGCTATATTCCTCCTATTTCCTTTGTACTCTGTGCATCTTTGTAAAATAATGTTTTTCTGTCAGGCTATCAATAAACAAGACTGGTTGGATGGTGACCCCAAGGAAGCAGAAAAGGACTTTTGGGAACTGGCCTCGTTGGAGTGCTATGACCACCTCACGCAGTGGAAGTCGCTGGCGTACTGTTCTACAGCCAGTGTGGACAGCAAGCAGCCTCCAGATCTAAGTAAAATGTGGAGTGAGCCATTTTATCAGGTTGGTCACTGAGATTAATGGTTTTAATGTTCAAGAATTTTCTCACCAACACAGTTGTTTAAAACTTTTTAAAAACAGGGCAGAACTTAGTTATCGGAATATTGAGATAACTTCACTCCCCCCCCAACACTCCACAAAGACAAAACCTATTACCATCAAGTCAATTCCTACTCATAGTGACCCGATTGGACAAAGTAGAACTGTCGCATGAGTAGAACTGTCCCAGAGTGGAACTGTCCCGTGAGTAGAACTGTCCCATGCAGTCTCCAAGGCTCCGATCTTTACAGGAGTACACCGCCACACCTTTCTCCCACAGAGCGTCAGGGAGTGCACTGCTGACCTCTCCGGTAGCAGCCAAGCACGTTAACCACTATCCAGAAGTCCTGGGAATTTGACATCTCTAATAACTCTTAGCTAGTCCTTTCAAAAGAATGGAATATATCTTAAAACATGGGAGAAAGGTTCCTCTTATGTTACAAAAAGAGTTGTGCAGGTCACTGTGTCTCCAGTGTACCCAGGCTTCACAGTGAGATGATGCAACGGCTGCAACTGTGACTGCATTCATCATTTCAATTTGTTTGTGAAGTCTAGGTATTCTTTAAGCTTTTTTTTGGTTAGGGCTCTTAAGTCATTCTGTGTCCCATAGAACATGTTCCTTTATAGTTTGTGTCTACAAAATTAGCTATTTTAAATGAAGGAGCTTAAAACATTGTCACTTGCTCACTCCTGCTGAGTTAAGTCCAATTGATAGCAACGCTTTCAGACAGAGGAGAATTGCTCTTGTGAGTTTCTGAGACTTTTAGGAGATCACGATCCTACCAGGGCTCCTTAAAACACTGTAGTTTTGTTAAATCACTGTTTTATACTTGAAACAGTAAACATTATTTTGGCCTGAAAATTTGAGCCAAAAATTAAACCAGAGAAAATTGTGGTGGTAACTTAAAGCAAACTTGCTGACCTATCGTTGATTCCAACCCATAGTGACCCTGTAGGGCAGAGTAGAATCGCTCTTGTGAGTTTCTGAGACTTTTACATCTTTCCAGGAGCAGGCAGCCTTTTCTCCAGAGGAGTGATTGGGGGATTCCAACCACTGACTTTGCAGTTAGCAGCTCAATGGGTAGCCCAGTACACTGCCAACGCTGCTTATTGTGGTAATAAAATGATTATATACATTATCAAATGGACTTTCTGAAGTTACAGGCCAATGTTGATGTTTTCTAGGAGACTTATTTACCGTACATGATCCGCAGTAAACTCAAGTTACTGCTTCATGGAGACAATGATCAGTCGCTGCTGACATTTGTTGATAACTCTGTGAACACAGAGCTCCAGAAGGTTCTCCTAGAGCTTCACTACAGTCAAGAATTGAGTCTCCTTTACCTCCTACAAGATGATTTTGACAGAGCCAAATATTACATAGAAAACAGCATTCAAACCTTTATGCAGGTAATACAGGTGTTTTCAGAATGTGCAAATATTTATAGTACTTCATTGAACTTAACCATTCCTTCATTCATATTTCCCATTACCTTGTTCTATGCCTTAATGCTTTATTTAATCTTATTTTTGTTTTGCTTTAAAATAGTTCCACCTTGACAGGAGGAAAGTCAAGGGAAATAGAGGAAAGAGCTGGGAGGAAAGGGCACTTATAGA